TTCTTACTTGTGAATTCAGTTCACTGGAGACTTGCACTAAACCGTTCATTTGAATCAGTGAGTTGTGGACCTGAGAACAGCTGCAATAGGTTCATTCTAATTCGTGAATGAATTGTTTGGTGCGATTTGCGAACCGATTTAAAAGGTTCATTGAAAAGAATCAGTTCGTTCTTGAATTAGACACCACTTCTGCGTGTGTCAGAGCACGTCATATATCATAAGGAGTAACGATATGTTTTATGAAATGTAGTGAAGTAAAATGTACGATCTTATGCTTTGGAATTTAGTGAAGTAAAAGTTACTCAAAATAAAACTACTCCAGTGAAGTACAGATACTTGAAAAATGTACTTAAGTACAGTAACGAAGTAAAACTACTCTGTTACTGTCCACCACTGGTGACATTAGGTATGTTGGTAATATGGAACTTCAGAAGTGAAGTTGTTTCATATCATAATTTTTTTTCTTCAGAGAAAAGAGCTGGGTGGGGTGTTAACTATAATTAATTACTTCAGTAATATGAACTTTACCATCCATGCATGTTTCCTGTTCATCTTTTACTCAATCCACATTTGCAACAAGTGCCGCTCACCTCTTGTGCGAGGCTCTGTGTGTGGTCTGTCAGGGGATAGGGAGGGCTGGGCCGGTTCATATAGTGGGCCACGGCGTTGTGAATGTTGAAGGCTTTCTGGAAGTCTGACTTCTGGACCAGCTGTAGAACCAGCTCTATGTCCTCTTGACTCTGAGAGTCATTCAAACTATGCTGCACCTGCTTGAGGGACATCAACAGGTCCTCCAGCTCTGAAAGCACAAACACAAACTATAAGTATGCTTGCATATCACTCGTGTATCTCAAAAACACCCTGTCTGTAAAACCAGAAGAAACAGTAACTTCACAGAGGAACAACAGTACATACCTCTGAATCATTCACCCGGAAAGCTGATGACATGGCCTCTCACAAAGACTCCCCCACTGAGTATTTTTATTGTTCGTTATCCACATCGCACAATGTTTGCATAAATCACAGATGTAATTCAGCTATTCTAGTGTTGTCCTTGACTAACCAAGATTTTCGGCTATGTTGTAATTCTCCTTTATAGTGTCTAACTACACAACGAGAGAATGGCAAGACACAATAGGAGTTAGACATGTCACATGTGGGTGTGTTCTTCTTGTGTGGTGTGTAATGTCTAAGTGGGTGGCTAATAGAGGTATTAGTGGGCAAATCAAATATCTTAAGTGTTGCCTTTGCTTTGTTCTGGGGATATATTTTACGCACACTTTAGTGCTACAAAGAGTTTTAGACTGTCAAAAAACAGCATTGGGAGAGCGTGGAGAGATGAACTGGAACACAAACAAAGAAGGAAAATCGAGGAAAACACAGTACAGCAAGAGTGGTCTGGGTCAGAATGTTTCATAAAAGGCTTTTTAATTAACCTCCCCCTCAGAGGGTCCTCTTCTCCCTCCCTGAGGAATTCCACTCACACACATCCCTTGGCCATGACTTTCAGCAGCAGCTCCAAGTGCCCCTCTCATTTGCACAGTAACTCAGTTTGTTCATCCTTGCCATGCATTCTGGATTTCCCCTTAACGGAGATCTATTCAAAACCAAGAATTCACTGGAGGAGCTGAGCATGTGTGTGTCTGTCCAATCTAATGGATTAAACTCTAGTGAAAGGCTTCCTGTTGAGAGTAACTAAAGAGAAAGAGTAAGAGGTTGTGAAGTGAGGAAAGCGAAGAAAGGTGAAAAACAGATTTCAAAAAATCAGCTAAAAAGATATTAAAATAATGTGGCATATAAATGGACTTTTGTCCTCATTTAGTTTCAAGTCCAGTGGCTCTTTGGCTCTTGAAAACTCTTAGTCATCAGTAACATGGCTCTTTGCCTCCTCTAAGAATGACTTCACTCATGCATGCTGATTTTAGCAGTACAGTGCCCTTCAGTTCCTCTGAATCAGTTTCAACCTCACATTTCCATAACTATTTGTGCCATTTTGTCAAACAATTGTGGAAAGTAATGGTTAATTGTTGTTTTCTGGACACTATCTGGTCACTTTGTACGTCTGAATGCCATAGCATATCATGCACTGTTATTTCAGTATTATTTATATAAAATGATAGACTATAGATTTTTAAATGAGCTTTTATTGTTATATTTTTTTAATGCAAGTTTTAGTAATTTAATTTTTCTCATTTTTATTAGTTTTTAATGTTTCTACCTTTAATTCAGTTTTATTTCAATTCTACTTTTAGTACTTCAACTTAACTAAACTAAAAGTTTCCAATTTTCATGTTATTTTTAAGATTTTTGTCAAACATATTTTATTTAAATGATAAACAGAATATGTTGCAAGCCAGATTCAAATGCATACATGCCCTATGAGCACTATGACTCAATATGTAGGCTTAACACTAAACACCATGGCACTGACGCCCACAATACTGCTGCTTGCTCTGCACATGTCAGGGGCGGGTTTATAGCAGCACTCTTTGGAAACAATGCCCATTAGCAGTTTATGACACCCACCTAGTAGAGTTGGCGGTGCAGTGAGAATTTGCAGACCACCTATGGAGCCTCCAGGACCTTCCATTTGCTCAAAAGTGGGGTTATCGATGCCCACTTTGGGATTCTGTGAGAGTTTCTTGAGGCGCATGGATGAGTTGAGGTCGAGTTCCTGTCGGTTGCGGCCTTCTTCCTCCCGTCTCCTGCGGTCCTCCTGCTGCTGACGGATCCTTTCCAGCTGAGCGCTGCGTCTGACGGACATGGTGCGGGCACCCAGTTCACTGGGGCAGTCCACCGCCATCTCCCTGTGCCTCTGCACC